ACCTCAGATTAGTTTCTGTTACATCTATCATGATTTAATTAGGATATATAATGAATTGATAAGCTTATGTTGACATCACAAAATAAAGGGATGGGAATACAACTAATATATCACGGAACGAAGATTCATCCTCAAAGAAAGGAGTAATCTAATAGCCTGTGACAATCTCTAAACTCGATGCATTTCACCAGAACGTTCACCTAATTAAAATCCAATTGAATATCTATGGGGATATATAACATGATGAAGGAGCTGTAGTTCAAATAGAAATTAAGTAAATTTGATAAATTCCATGTATCAGATCTACAAAATCATATAATATTTGTGAGATGTTGTTATCATCAAAGCCAGAAAGATTTGAAATAGCAGTAGAAAACTGTGGATCCTGTTAAAAGTATCCATACATTTGTGAATCAGCAAGCATTTAATTTTATCTGGGATTATACAATAAGCTTCTATTCCCAAACAAGTGGCAATATTCATATCAAATGATTTAATAAAGTCTGAAATAAAATGAAACCAAGAAACATTATAGATCATTAAACATCTATGATATTATTGTTATTCAAAGAGTCTATGAGGCCTGATGAAAATAACAATATTTTCAGACTCGGTGTCTCCTCACTTAAGGCAATGGATGAGCTGCCAGTTGAATGAAAGATTCAACTAAGTCGTACATTTTCAATTTGGTTGATTATACAGTACATGTATGCAGGGACTTGCATGTGCTTATCTTTATATGTACCATTAAATTATCAAAGCAAAAATATGCCATTAACACTGAAGCTTCTGACGCATCTGAAAACCAACCTCATGACGTGAGCAGCGAGCGTTGTCACCAGCCAGGGGGAGCAAGGGAGGTCATCGTGGTACAGCAGAATATCTCGTGCGGTGAACTTCAGCAGCTCTTGGACCAGGATGTCTCTGCCCTGCCATTCCAACTCTCCCAGGTGTTGCACTAGAAGGAATAAAACACTTCCTCTTTATGCTTTCTTAACCCAATAGATCATACTGTATATGATTTATTTATTTATTTATTTTTCTTTGTAGTATCTATCTATCAAAAGGAATGACAATACAGAATCTATACATGCATGTACAATGCTCTTCCGAAAAGCTATCAAAGAAAATTTCAGTTTGAAAAATAAGAATAAGACAAACAAGATTAGAAAATAATCACAAACAAATTCATATATCAAGTCCATGCCTCTGAAGTTACCGTTCACAAAGATCAGATATCAAATACAACCCCCTGATCCTGCTAATACCATACCGACTGGGGCATCAGGAGTAGCAAGGGCGCGCAAAAATATCAACTCCCGCTGCAGTGCGCCCTGGTAGTCTTGGTGCCGTCTGAATACCTTGAGAGCCACAGGGCCCCCCGATACACAGTCTTCCCCCTCATACACCTCACAGCACCTGAAATGTTCATCCAAGTGATTAAAATATCTGTGACTCTCAAACAATTATCCTAATGAGTTTGTCTTTCTGTAGCTATATGATATATGTTAGACAAGTATGGTCTACAATAGATACACACACACACACACACACACACACACACACACACACACACACACACACACACACACACACACACACACACACACACGCACACACACACACACACACACACACACACACACACACACACTGTGAATAACATGCATATGACTATAAGCAGCTCATAATCATCAATAAATATAAGAATATGTGAAACAAATCTGCCTTCCCAGCATCATGCAAATTAGAACTCCGAAGAAGTTGACTCACTCTTAACTCTAGCCAAGCTGCTTGCAAGATCATTTAACCACTCAAGTCTTCCAAAATCTAGTCTGGTAGTTCCCAGAGCAACATTTAGGTAATATCAAATTTAGTACAATCACATAAAACAACAAGCACTGTCTTTACTGGCATATAAATCTGATAAGTGAATTTTTTTTCACTATAATTGTGATTTCTGTCAATAATATTGAGTACAAAAGAACTATTTATCTATTCCATCTAAGAAAATTAACCAAAAAAGCAATAGGTATAGCATGCCTACTGTGAGTTTACTTTATTAATTGTTTTTACACATAGATGGCTCCACTTGTACTAATTCACCAATGAGCCAATTACAAGTACTACCTGTCTCACCTGTTAACCCTTTTCCTTGATTTTCAAAAATATTTTATCTTATATTATATTGCTGTCACTAATGTCAATAACATTATAGTAATAAAAATAACACTATCGACATTGATAGCATTAGTAATTACAGAGCCATCTATGTGCAGAGAAATTTCACAAAAAAATCTAAAATGAGCCCATCATTTTCCCAGTGACATTGGGTTAATCTCCATGAGCATGATTACAAATGCATTCAGTATAAAAGCATTCACCAACCAATCCTTTATAAGTGATGTTAAGACAAGGAGGCACCTCAAATTTTCACTAAAATAAAACTGTAGCCATAACTTCCTGTTTTCATATCAGCATGCACATTCCCCTTAACTTGAGAGACCAAACCATCATCCAAAAAGAGAAAGAGCATCTACCTGCCGAAAGCAATGCCACCTCTCACTCTGAAGACTCCAAAAGGTGCAATAAGCTCCTGCTCTGGAGGAAGCTCTTGAAAATGGTTGTTCCTGACAGAAGTCATCTTTCATTCATCACCCGAATGAAATGTATGGCATACGAAGGAGTTGCTCTGGATTCCCTGTAAGAAAAAAAGGTTCTTAATAAGTATTCTGATTATATAAGTAATATGTACTAAGTTACATCAATACCATCATAACAACTTTGAATATGGCTGCAAAGTCCTACTCTCAAACATCTGTGTTATTGTATCAGTGTTTTACCTTAGTTCTATTTTCTGGGATAAACTTTAACTAAAATGCAGCCTAGATTGCACAAAATCTAATCACCAAACATTAATTTAAAAATCTGGTTATTTCTAAGGACTGCATCAAGGGATCATTGTTCTCTGCACCTAAAGCACAACAATCCTTCATCCCAAACACACTGTTAAAACAAAGCTCGGATTGGCTCCTCATTTACAAATAAATCAGCAGGAAGGTCTGAAAGCTGTACACTTGTTTTCTACAATTATAATCTAAGATACTCATCACAGTTCAACCATCATTATCTTGTAAATGTACAGCATTGTAAAATGCACACTGTTCTACTATCTTTACATAATGGGATTGAATTCTGTCATCATATAATACAATACACATAAAGAAAAAAATAAATGGTCTCATGTCTCTTAACTCTCTGTATGCTCTTACTGATGTGAATGAGATGTTTTATGTCAAACTTGCATCTGTGACAGAAAGCTGTCCTGGGTGAGATATTCACATTGTTCTGGGTGACTTCAATGTGTTACCTGACTGTTACTAAGCTAGCTATGAGATGTCTATTAGTCCTCATGGTTCAAGACCTGATGCAGGCAGTGAAAATACCCTCCTTTTCAAGGACTTTGCAAGGTCCTAAAAATTGAAGATTTCTGGCTCTTGGTACCAGCGCTCTGACCTGCATTATTCGACATGGTACAGCGATGTGGGTAATGTAGCCAAGGAGATCCACCACATCCTTGTTAGCTCTCATAGGAGGATCCTCCAGAACTGCAACGTGTATCAGAGAGCTGAGGTCCGTGGTACTGATCGTAGATTAGCTGTGTCTACCATTCGAGTCCACTTCAATACTCTCTGTCAGTCCACTGACAGGGAGTTTCATGTGGACAGGTTAAGGGAGGGGGAGTATGCCCCTGGAGATTGAAGATCATTTATTAGTAAATGACCTTGTCTTGCATACCAAACCCTAAGAAGGCTGATATCCAAGCCCTCGTTGCAGGTGACTGCAATCCGCTCAGTAAGTGGCCAGATTATCTCAGATCCTGTTGGGGTGTTAGAGGTTAGGCTGAGTATTTTGACCTTACCACCAGTGAGAGGATCCACCCTCTCTAACTGAAGTTAGGAGGCAATCTCCAAGCTGAAGAGTGGTAAAGCAGTGGTAAAGCAGCTGTGGCATTCCTGCTGAACTGTTAAAGGTTTAAAGGTTAGTGGTGAACCTATGGTGCAGGGTTTGCATGCTGTCCTGGGTGCCATCTGGCAGACTGGTACCATTCCCCCTGACCTGTTGAGGGGTGTGGTCATCCCTAAACAGGTCAGGTCCCATCAATCACCAAGGCATCACAGTATACTAGGTAAGGTTCTTGCTCCCAAATTTCTGAGACATATCAGAGACCATCTGCTAAGGTACCACAGGCCGGAGCAATCTGGATTCACTCCTAGTAAGTCCACAACAGACCACATCCTGGCACTTCAAGTCATTGTAGAGTGCCATTGTTAATTCTGATATTGACTGCTTGCAGCTTACATCGACCTAAAGAAGGAATTTGATATGGTGTATTGTGAATCTCTCTGGGAGATCCTGAGAATGACAGGAGTCCCAACAAGGATTACTGAAATTAAGAGGAACCCTGTATATTGGTACTGAAAGTGCTGTAAACTGTGGTGGGGGCCTGTTGAGCTTCTTCCCTGTTAATTCAGGAGTGAGGCAAGCCTGTTCTTGCACCAACACTTGCATGGATTGGATACTGGGCAGAGCTACTGTCCAGCAACATTGGGCAATGAACCAATACCAAGATCCAGGACTTTGGGGCCAGGTAGGAGAACCTGTTGGTTGATACATGCTTGCAGTGAGGACATTGAAGTCACAGAGAGCTTTATATACTTTGATAGTTCATAACTCTGTGCCTGTTAGACCAGGAAGCTAGTAGACAGATTGGCCTGGCAGTCGGGGTCCTGAACTCTTTCACATAAAGTCCAAGCTACATGTCTTCAAGACCCTGCAATTGTCAGTTTTACAATACAGTAGTGAAACCTGTATGCAATCCTGTGCCTTGGAATCTTGACTTGATGTAACAGGTCCTTGTGCTGGATCATGGGGTATAGCTGGCAGGACCATGTGTCCAACCAATGGTTACATCGTGAGAGGGGTACAGGTCCCATTACTTGTACAGTCCAGGACTGCCAACTCAGGCTATACAGGCACCTGGCTTAACTTCCCACAGGAAGATCCTGCCCACCAAGTTGTTTCTGTTTGAGATAACCCTGGGTGGAGGAGGCCTGTTGGGATGGCATAGGAGTTTAGAAATGGGCCAAGGCCCTGCTAGGCAGTTTACCATGAGGGATCCTTGTAGAAAATGATGGTGGATGTGCCTATGCACCCCTGCCTGAGTTAGCTTTCCAATCATGATTATTATGATAAGTGAATTTTACAAACACACTGGTGCATCTGCCTTATGTTGGTTGGTACTCTGGCAATGGTTAACAAACTTCTACAGTATAACATTATAATAAGATTGAGCTTGTAATCTCTTGGCCAGTTTTTTGTCAAATAAGGAAACAATCTAATGATGCCAGATTATTCATGATTAATGTAAGTTTGGTATGGGTTGTAGTCGAGGTATTTTAACTAATTGTTTGCAAAGTTGAAGAATAACAAAACCAATTAAATAATACAAAAAGACACAAATTATATATCACTAAATCTGTATTTCATTAATGGTTTCGGAAAAAAATAAAGCATTCAAATTTAGAAATAAAAAAAAAACTTTACGTCTATACAGTTTTCAATGCATATTAACCATGAACAAGTTATATAGAATTTTATTTACTGATGAATTGCCTGGGTTTTTACTACAGAAAAAATTGACTATATGGAACAATAATTCAACTTGATCTAACCAAATCTTATTAAATATAATTTGTTACAATCCATTTACTCCTCCTGTATTGAACAAAAACTTGACTCGATAGGTTTTCTTAGGTCTGGGGAATCTTCCCATTGTTTTTGTTTTAGTTTTTTTTTTTTAATAAAAAACACATGATTATATGATATGCACATCCAAGCCACTCTCTTTCCGGATACTCTATCTGTTCACTAACCAAAATTTCTTACAATTAGTAACTGGTTGAACTGTGACTCAACAGGCACTTAAGAACTGCCTGATTTATCAAGTCATTTCACAAAAATAAGCATTTACTTATCTGCCTTGTCTTTGAGAGGCTTAGTAGTCTGTTACAGTAAATGAAGCCTCCCACCTGAGAAACACTGAATTCCTACTAACTGATGTATCTCCACACCAAATTATTTATATAAATAACAATATAATACCAGCATTTAAAAGTTAGTCAAATTTTTACCATAAAAAATGATACAAAAGATTACAAAACTTCGAAATAAGCATTCATGTAAAAATGTGGTGAATTTTGTAATGAATATACCATTCTATTTTATTTTCATTATCATTATCATCATCTAATTATCAATCTACTTTTCACCTCTTCTTCTGCTTCTTTGGTCAAGAATGTTCTCAATTCTTTCTTCTTGACGAACTTCTAAAAATAAATATACTTTTTAAAATCAATATTTATAATTAGATGTGAACTCTGAATAAAAACAGCATTTTCTCCATTGGTATTTCTTTATTACCTCTTTTTGCAGTCTTCTTTTAATTATTTCTGACTTATTGTTCCTCTTTTTTCTTTTATTGAGTTTTCTGTTTTCTTCTTCTTTCTTCTTTTATTGAGTTTTCGGTCTTCTCCTTCTCTCTTCTTTTATTGAGTTTTCCGTTTTCTTCTTCTTCTTAAATTGAAGTTTTATTTTCTTCTTCTTCTCCTTCTTTCTTCCTTTAATGAGTTTTCGTTTTTTTTTTGTCTTTTCCTTCTTTCTTCTTTTATTGAGTTTCCTTTCTTTTTCTTTTATTGAGTTTTCTTCTTTTTTCTTTTATTGAGTTTTCTCCTCTCTTCTTTTATTGCAATTTCTTCTAATCTATTCTTTTATTGAGTTATCTGTTTTCTTCTTCTCCTTCTCATTTCTTTAACTAAGTTTCCTGTTTTCTTCTTCTTCTCCTTCTTTCTTCTTTTATAGGATTTTTAGACTTTTTTTTTTTTGCCACTTCCCTGTGTTGTGACGTTTCTTCTTCTTCTTCTTCTTTCTGCTTTTATAGGTTTTTATATTATTGTCTAGTCTATATCCCCTGGATCTATTTTCTTTCTTCTTCCTTATTTCTTTTCTTTATATTATTTCTATTAGTTTCGTTTTCTTTAGGAAGATTTTTGTGTGTCTTAGAATGTTAATACCTACACCTGTAATTAACAAGTTTAAGTCGGGAGTTTGTATTTTTTTTTTTTTTTATTTAGTGATTGTAATAAATTGATTCTTTGTGAATTAAATCCTGGGCACTGTAAGATTAAATGCTCAGGTGTCTCTTCTTGGTTTGTTAATTTGTGTCACTTCCTTCTCATTTCTTTTACTAAGTTTCCTATTTTCTTCTTCTTCTTTCTTCTTTTATTGAGTTTTCTCCTTCTTTCTTCTTTTATTGCGATTTCTTCGTATTTCTTCTATTATTGCGTTATCTGCTTTCTTCTTCTCCTTCTCATTTCTTTCACTAAGTTTTCTGTTTTCTTACTTCTTCTCCTTCATTCTTCTGTTTCCTTCTTCTTCTCCTTCATTCTTCTGTTTCCTTCTTCTTCTCCTTCTTTCTTCTTTTTATAGGATTTTTATACCTTTTTCTTGTGTCCCTTTCCTGTGTTGTGACGTTTGGGTCGCGAGGCTTTGTTGTGTAAACAAAGACGCGTTCGTTGCTCGGTGAATTTTTAGGTCTTATTTTTTTATTTCTTATTTTTAGGTCTTATTTTTTTATTTCTTCTGTTTATTTTTTTTATTATTAGGTCCTATTTTTATTTCTTATTTTTTTATTAAGTCTTATTTTATTTATTTTTATTATTATTATTTTTATTATTATATGTCTTATTATTATTTTTTATTATTATTATGTCTTATATTTTATTTCTTATTTTTTATTTTTATTATTATGTCTTATTTTGTATTTTTAATTTTGTATTTTTTTATGTCTTATTCTATTTATTTCTTATCTTTTATTTTTTTATTTTATGTCTTATTATATATATATATATATATATATATATATATATATATATATATATATATATATATTATATATATATATATATATATATATATATATATATATATATATATATATATATATTTTTTTTTTTTTTTTTTTTTTTTTTTTTTTTTTGCGTGTTTTGTGGGTCTGGGTTATTTATTGGTTAGTTCTATGGTCTTTTATTTTTTTATGCTTTCGTTTTCCTCGTGATGTAGTTTGTGATGTAGTTTTGGGGGGTTTGCGGGTTCTTTGGCAATGAATGCTTTTATTTATTATTATTATCATTTTTTTAAAGATAGTTTTTGATAGAAGCAAATTTAAATTTTGAATATCTGAAATATCTAATTTATGAAATACTTTTGGTGTGTGTGTATGTGTGTGTGTGTGTGTGTGTGTGTGTATGTGTGTGTGTGTGTGTGTGTGTGTGTGTGTGTGTGTGTGTGTGTGTGTGTGTGTGTGTGTGTGTGTGTATGTGTGTGTGTGTGTGTATGTGTGTGTGTGTGTGTGTGTGTGTGTGTGTGTGTGTGTGTGTGTGTGTGTGTGTGTGTGTGTGTGTGTGTGTGTGTGTGTATGTGTGTGTGTGTGTGTATGTGTGTGTGTGTGTGTGTGTATGTGTGTGTGTGTGTGTGTGTGTGTATGTGTGTGTGTGTGTGTGTGTGTGTGTGTGTGTGTGTGTGTGTGTGTTACCTAGCCGTCTTTTGAGTGCTGCTATACCGCTTCTTAGCACCCTTGAGTAAAGATGGCAACAAGTGGAATATAACCCAATATACTCGCGTGTAGGCCACTGGATAACAGATTCTTATTCCACTCTCTCCGGAGCTCAGTGTTTGTTATAAGAATAATACGTCCTATTTTACGTGTGACTTTCCTTCTTGTAAACTTCATTTTATTTCAGTATTATATCAGTTGGTGATTCTAAACACATGAAATAATATTATACCTTTAATGAGTTACTTACTGTTACAATTGAATTTCCTCGTCTCCTGACGAGTCCAAAATTCTCCCCTTGGAGAGTACGAAGAGATGCAGAACCCTGTCTCATCTACTTCGTATAGTCACACGGAATTCAGTACTGTTTTAACCGAAATTAGGAATATCTACCAAAGATAAATCCCCACGAACACACACGTTCGACGACAGTTAGTACTGAACTGCTTCACAAGTGCCACATAAGCCCCTCGGCCTCTCCTGACCGTGCCGACCCAGCACAGAGCACAGTGGTGCCCTTGTTTAAAAGGCCTATAGAGTATCACCCTTATGTCCCCAAGACCAGGTGTCTATAATGCCATGTAAAACACTAAAGGCTTATCCGTCCATAGGATAAACGCCACACTCTGTAGCTTTAATGGAATGTGGAGGTCCCCCGAACTACCATTCTATCTACCATTCAACCATTGGAAAACCCCAAATTCATGGTATATAGTGGTCTTACAGGTCAGAAATGCCGATAGATTACCATTCCAATGCTACTTCAATAAGTCTGGCCGTTGACATATATATATATATATATATATATATATATATATATATATATATATATATATATATATATATATATATATATATATATATCGTTCCTTGTGTGTGAGGAACTGTATCCATGGAACATAGGAAGCCTATTGTAGTGGCACTTACACCGCCAGGTCCAACATAAAAAAAGAGAAGGGAATTAACCGTTTGCAGTACGTAGTACGTAGCTGTAAGTGATATAATCGTGGTTTATAATAATTGAATAATATATATGAATATATATATATATATATATATATATATATATATATATATATATATATATATATATATATAAGATGCAATCTACTCCACACACACACACACACACACACACACACACACACACACACACACACACACACACACACACACACACACACACACACACACACACACATACATATATATATTTGCTCTCCCTGCACCTCTTCTCTCAATGGACTGCCACCTTCCATTTGACGTTTCCGGCATGTGACTTCGGAAATTCTAGTGGTACCATTTTGCATGTCTCGGTAGTGAAGGTTGTGTCAATTCGACAGTAGTCTGTTTTCGTATCAGAGACGGACAGACAGTCATCATAATATATCTTACATTTCCATCCTGGTTGTCCTTTGCTTTGAATTGTTTCGTTATATTGATTTGTGCACTTCTGTGTGTGTATTCTTAAAATTCATAGGTAGAGTAAATGAAAAATTCATTTATTTGCCATGGTGCTATAATAATGCCGAGGAATTTGAAATATAACTTGATAATCAAAGGGCGGATTTAACAATAATGCTAAGAATAACATTTTCTAAAAAAAAAATAGTTAAAATTTCCCCCCCCCCCCCCCCCCCCCCCCCCCCCCCCCCCCCCCCCCCCCCCCCCCCCCCCCCCCCCCCCCCCCCCCCCCCCCCCCCCCCCCCCCCCCCCCCCCCCCCCCCCCCCCCCCCCCCCCCCCCCCCCCCCCCCCCCCCCCCCCCCCCCCCCCCCCCCCCCCCCCCCCCCCCCCCCCCCCCCCCCCCCCCCCCCCCCCCCCCCCCCCCCCCCCCCCCCCCCCCCCCCCCCCCCCCCCCCCCCCCCCCCCCCCCCCCCCCCCCCCCCCCCCCCCCCCCCCCCCCCCCCCCCCCCCCCCCCCCCCCCCCCCCCCCCCCCCCCCCCCCCCCCCCCCCCCCCCCCCCCCCCCCCCCCCCCCCCCCCCCCCCCCCCCCCCCCCCCCCCCCCCCCCCCCCCCCCCCCCCCCCCCCCCCCCCCCCCCCCCCCCCCCCCCCCCCCCCCCCCCCCCCCCCCCCCCCCCCCCCCCCCCCCCCCCCCCCCCCCCCCCCCCCCCCCCCCCCCCCCCCCCCCCCCCCCCCCCCCCCCCCCCCCCCCCCCCCCCCCCCCCCCCCCCCCCCCCCCCCCCCCCCCCCCCCCCCCCCCCCCCCCCCCCCCCAATATAAAAACACTAAAGGCTTATCCGTCCATAGGATAAACGCCACACTCTGTAGCTTTAATGGAATGTGGAGGTCCCCCGAACTACCATTCTATCTACCATTCAACCATTGGAAAACCCCAAATTCATGGTATATAGTGGTCTTACAGGTCAGAAATGCCGATAGATTACCATTCCAATGCTACTTCAATAAGTCTGGCCGTTGACATATATATATATATAGATATATATATATATATATATATATATATATATATATATATATATATATATATATATATATATATATATATATATATATATATATATATATTATATACATATATATATTTGCTCTCCCTGCACCTCTTCTCTCAATGGACTGCCACCTTCCATTTGACGTTTCCGGCATATGACTTCGGAAATTCTAGTGGTACCATTTTGCATGTCTCGGTAGTGAAGGTTATGTCAATTCGACAGTAGTCTGTTTTCGTATCAGAGACGGACAGACAGTCATCATAATATATCTTACATTTCCATCCTGGTTGTCCTTTGCTTTGAATTGTTTCGTTATATTGATTTGTGCACTTCTGTGTGTGTATTCTTAAAATTCATAGGTAGAGTAAATGAAAAATTCATTTATTTGCCATGGTGCTATAATAATGCTGAGGACTTTAAAATATAACTTGATAATCAAAGGGCGGATTTAACAATAATGCTAAGAATAACATTTTCTAAAAAAAAATAGTTAAAATTTGTGGAAAAAATACTGTAAACATTTGCCTATTAGTGAACGATAATCGATATTCATTGTTGCAGTATAAATGGTTAACTACTGACCAAAATTCTGTTGGCACTGTCCACTGTAGGGAAAATTTATATGGAAAGGGTACGAACAAATTTACTTATTAATATATGATTTACTAGAAAAAAATATTAAAATACAAACCCGTTTTTTTTTTCAAATAATCTTCGTCACCTTCGGGAGACCAGTATTGTCTACTATTAAAATTACATTTTATTGCCATGGCGAATTCAACAGTGCAACAGATACATCATTAGAAGCAGACACCTCATAGCATATTTGAGGGGAAGGAATACCTGCTTCAAGGAGAAATAGAATTCAGACGTTCTTTAGGTGATCACGTAGGTGTTTCCGTCCAGCTGCATATTCAATATCGTTTTAGATTTGACATTCTACAGTCCCTAATGATTTCTGATGTCTTTGGAAACACGCAATTTCAGTATTGTGGATATATTAAATAGTACAACCCACTTTACACCTTTCGTTTACGATCCGCCTCACTAGGGAGTTATTATATTACACTTGATGTTTGCAAACTAAACGTTTTCCTCGTGTATCTACTAATGTAAAGTGTCAAAGTGACTTATTTATATCCCTATACTGTACACCCATACACACTACAATGACTACCCAAATCGCTGGATCCTATCATTTAACACAGCCACTGAATGATCCTTCTTATAATCCTGTCTAGAGGGTGTGGCGTTTGGATTCGTGACTGTGCCTGAAAATGGGGTGGGCTGTTAGGTATACTAGTCAACTCTTTACTTTGCATATGCGTTTCGCACATATTTGTCTCCTTTTATGGGTTATGCTGCCTTTGGTACCATTCACACATTTGAATTGCTTTCCTTTGTTTTACAGATGATTTTGCTGAATAAAACATTAGATTGTCAATTAACAAACCTTGAGGAGCATCATGTA